GCCAGAATGAAGGGTAGATCTATTCAAGCATCACTTGGTAATGTTCGCAGAAGTCGAGAATAACTAGGTCTATGGGACCCAGAGCTAGATCTACTGGGCCTAGCGTAAATGGGTAGTGTACACGCTTAAGTACCCCGCTTTATGGGTAGTAATGTCCTCTTCTAGGGAAGGAATCACTACATCTTTGTCATCCCATTTACAATCCTTCTTTACCTGCTCAAGCTCATCCTTGGTTATCAAACAAATATATCGAGACATGGGCTCGCATCGGCCTGGTGTCGATATAGATTTTTCAATTTTAAAATCAGATGTTATTTCACAGGGCGGGGGAATACACTCCTCGACGCGAGGCGGCACCACCGGTTTACTTTTAGATGGATGTGATGATGAAGAGGCTTTTTCTTGTTGGGGAACGGTTTGGGATGTTTTAGCCATTGTATTTCAAATAGAGAAGAAAATGTTGCTGATGGAGTAAAGAACAAATTGGGAAAAGTACGATTTTAGGGAAATTGAAAGAACTAGCAAGATTTGGCAATGATTTAAGAAGTAAAGTTAGCAAAATTGAGAAGTTAGCCTATTTATAAAAGTCACTCAAGCGTATTGGGGAAGCCAAAAGGCCGACCGTCAGCCGTCCCTAATTAATGGCCTTGGAAACTGTGCAGACGCGACCTCTCAATCACTTCAGACACTGACATCACGAGATCGGCATCATGACCGAGACATCAAGGATATCGGACCTCAAGTCATTTCTTATCGTCTTATCTCGAGTTCGAGCAAGTGTTCGCTCGACTACTAAGCCCCAGGGCCACCCGAGTTTGGGAAAATTCTCACTCGGAGACTATAGATAAAGGCCTAAGGGATAACTTTATTTCAAGTTTGAACAAATGCTCTCTCGACTACTAAGCCCACGGGCTACCCGATTTTGAGGAAATCATCACTCGGGGACTGTCTACGAAGCCTAAGGGCTAAATCTAATTCAAATTCGAAACCTTGCTCTCACTCAGCTCGAACTCAAGAGTCCCGACATCCCGAGCTCACATCAAATCAATTTAAGCTTAGCTCGAGGATTAACAAAAACCTTAAGGGGTATTATATTGATCGATTAAAACTTAAAGGTTTATTATGTTTCGAGTCCGATGTTCAGGCCCATCACCAAAGTTATGCAGTCAAAATTCAAATAGAGACGAAATGAAATTCAACACGAGCCAAAAATGAGACAAAGAGATCCTTTTATATTTGCAAGGGATGGTTACAAAATATAACTACAACATCCACGAAGGGAACAAAGAAACAAAAAACAGAAGCCAAGAACCTAATATACTCTTAAGGCCACGTCCTGGAGAGCATCATCTTCGGGAACCTCCTCCCCGGGGATCCCGTTTTGATATTTGTAAATATCTGTATGCCCGAAGAGATTTAGGGCAGAAAACCCTCGATAAATGTAACTATATTTCCAGTAGCGGAGATTGAGCACTCCGTTGAAATTTTGGGCCATAATCCGTTGAAAAAGAACAGCAAAAGAAAAAGACCAAAAGATGTAGCTTCACCTTCTATCGCAAGAAAACCCAAGAAGGTTGCAAGATGCATGAGCAACGATCCAAGGATGTTCATCCTTGAGACATTGTTCCGGTGTGGGATGCAAAAGTTAGTAGATGATAGTGCCACATTATTCCATGGAAAGCAAAAGGAATGAAGTGCTACACCAGGTTGAAGTTAAGAGAGATGAGTAGCAGTGTAAAGTTCGCATATTTTCTGTTGCGGGAAGGATTCGGCGCCCTTCTCTCGTTGTTTCGAATTGAAGCTTTGAAAAAAGGAGCCTTGGCGTAACTGTTAAAGATTCTGCTATGTGACCTTGTGATCGCAAGTTCGAACCATGGAAGTAGATGATTAAAGAAGGAAGCAAAGAAGGGAAAAGATCAAAAGTGGATGAAGATGAAAAAAGTACAGTTCTTTGTTCAACAGAATAGCTTCCTATTTATATAACGGCGGCGCCGGATCAGCGGCGTAAGTGGCCGACCAGTGCTGAAGCGCATTTGATGTTTTGGGAAAGCGAGCTGACATGGTATTTCCGGTCACTTCAAGCGCCTACGTCACGGGCATGAGGTCATCATAAGAGGTTCGAGAAAATCGAGGTTCAAATTGTTTCTTATCATCTTACTCTAAGAAACGATTTGTTTCTTGTTAAAACTACGTACAACTATAATAATCACTTTACCTAATAAAATCTGTTATTTTTTAACAAAGTCAAAAACAAATTAGGCTATCGTTTTTTTCTTTTCTTATTACATAAATTTTAATTCATCACATTTGTAAACTATATAAACACCTTCGTTAATTGTTTATTTATAAAAATAAAAAAAACCAGCTGGTATAAGCGAGTTCATCACTTGAATAACAAACCAGGTGATTATTTGGTTTTTCATCCTATTTTAAGCATATCATATACTTAAAATTCCACCAATATCAGCATTACTATACATCATATTCAGCATTATTCTTATGCATTCTACCAAAAGATATATGCTAAGGAAATTTTTGAAGTACTTTTAATTAAACCTTTATTTCAAGACAAGTCAAACTAATAATTTGGTTTTCATCTTGTGCAAGTAAGATAAAATTGAATACGGATGGTAGTATCAAAATGCAAACGGACGATTATGTAAGTTGCAGCCAACTTCCAGCCTAGTTATGGAATTATGTAGCATTAAAGAAGGGTTTAAACTAGCAAAAGAAATGGGATACAAAATTTATAAGTGGAAACAGATTGTCTATTAGCCGTCAAGCTTATCGACGAGGAAGACATACACTCACCAACTGAGGGTTATTAAAAATTATACATATTTGCTGAAAGTTAATAAGGTCACAATTACACATATTTGGAGGGAGGCGAACCAATGTGCCCATTTTTTTATTGTTATTTATATGGCCGATACTAAAAACAAAATAAATTTTTTGGTCACATAATATATTATAGTTAAAATATTTATTGACCTTTTTACCTTTTAAAAATAAAATTTACATTAAACAAGACTTGTAGTTTTTTTTATTTTTAGGACCTTAAAATCAACAAATATTTTAGTTATTAATTTTTTTTTAAAAAAAATGATTAAAACTTTTACCGTTTATAAATCATTTGTTTCTTGTTAAAACTATGTATAACTATAATCATCACTTTACCTAATAAAATCTGTTAATTTTTCAACAAAGTCAAAAACAAATTACGCAATCGTCTTTTTCTTTTCTTATTACATACAATTTAATTCATCACATTTGTAAACTATATAAACACCTTCGTTAATTATTTATTTATAAAAATAAAAAAATCAGCTGTTATAAGTGAGTTCATCACTTGAATAACAAACCAGGTGAAATACAATATTTTATCTTTGTCAGCATATATGTACAAGGCAAACTTCTCTTTCTGACGAAAGAGGAAGCTTTTTTTATTCATGAATCTTTTTTATTTTTCTAGTGTCAAGAATTTCCTTTTCTAGGTGAAGGAAAACCGAGAGCGACTCTATTTTCTAGTGTCGACAAACTGGAAAATTGTTAGAAGGTATGAATTGCCAAGACAAACTGGAAAATTGCCAAGTCTTTTGAAACTTATACCTATATTAATAAGGAAAGAGTTTTAACAATTAAGCTCTTAATTTATTTCAAAGTCTTAAATATTAGCAAAATAATTTAAAATTAATTTTAAAGGATAAAAAAGGTGAACAATATTTTGCTAAGAGGTTTCGTGCTTTTCTGAGAGTAAACAAATTTTCTTTATTACCACTTGAACATTTCATGCTTTTAATATAGTATAGATTTAATTAAGTAATTATTATGTGGTAATTGATAATCAAGGGTTGTTTCACATAATTACTTGCTTTAAATGGGTATTTTTTTTTTTTTTTTTTTTTTTTTTTTTTTTTTTTTTTTTTTTTGCTTTTATTAGTTTAATCTCTGCATTTCTAATTATGAAGTTAAATGTATTACTTCACATTTTATCTCACTTTAAGTTACTTATATATTTATTTCATATTTTATTCCAAATCTACATAAATAACACATAGTAGATTCCTTCGTAACTTAATACAAACATTACTTAGCATCGGTTGCCAAATGTCAGAGGCGGATCCAGGATATGAAGTTTATGGTTTCCTACCGTAATCTCAATTTAATATGCAATAATAACTAAGTTCACAGTTAGATATTTACAAATATTTATTGAATTTCTTAATATAAATACAAGGTTTACGCAAGAGTTACTTGGTTCCAGGGAACCTATAATCAATGTTCTAAGTCCGCCCCTGCCAAATGTTGCATTAGTTATGCGGCGATTATTTTTGTGTCATGCCACCAACCTTGCATTATCTTACACGAGATTTTATATTGAAATTGATTCCTCCAACCAGTACCTAACGATCCCTTATTTTATTGTCTTCTCAGTCATTGTTTCGTTCTGTCCCAAAAAATAAAATAAAAAGAAGAGAAATGTTAGTATGAAAATCATAGTGTATCTATTTCTAGTGTAAGTTCAGACATTATTGATTTGAAACTGGATTTCACTTGCATCAAATTCACAATTTTTATGGTTGGTAACTATTGGTATAGTCAAGACACAAAGTTTGTGTATGATTGATAATTTCCAATCACATACTAAATCTTATTCACAACTAGAGATACTCAACCTTTTTTCAGGTGAAAAAAGAAGTTTTTTGGAAATAGTTTTCTTCATAAACTAGAACACCTACAATGTAAACTTGTGTTATGTCTCATTTATGCTTTACTTTTGGCCAGAGGAGACATAAATGACTAAGTAAAGATAGCTGCAAAATGGACAACAGCCTTTAAATTTAGAGAACAAAGAATCTTTTCATGCAAAACATTTCCTAAAAGCCACCCCTTTTCCCTCCCTTGTTTTCATATAAAATCTTTCCCATTTTCTTTCTATTTCCCACCTCTAAATTCTAATTTTTGCATTTGATAAATCCGTCTACCTTCCTAGAAAAATTATGTCCTTGATCCCTCGTCCTCGACCTCAAGTTGTTGTCAATGGAGTCCAGAGAATGAGAACTTTCCATTATTATTGGTGTCGTCAATGCCAAAGATCAATCAGGACAACTTCAGTCAATCCATCTGAAATATTATGTCCTCGTTGTTTTGGCCAAATTCACTATGGTCTTGATGTTTCAAGGCGTAGGCTAGTCCTTTCGGATGTCACCAGGCTACAACCATCTCCAAATTCGCGTCTTCTTGATGCCTTGGCTCTAATTCTTGATCCGTCAATTAGGCTACAAAATCTTGATCATGGTAACGAAAATTATCAGCTTAGACAACATGCTCGAACCATTCTCCAATTTATAGGCCCTGATGAAAATATACTTTCTTTACAAGCAAGTAATACTTCCCTGGAATCGTCAAACGAAAATGGGGTGGAAGAGTTGATTCGAAATGATAGGCCAGGGCCATCTTCAGCAAATGATGCATTGCCAAAAGTTGTACTAACAGATGGATATTTGGCTAATGACACTGTTTGTCCTGTTTGTAAGGATGAGTTTGAAGTTGGGAGTGAAGTTAGGGAGCTGCCCTGCAAACATTTTTATCATTCTGAATGCATTTTTCCATGGCTGGAAAACCATAATACTTGTCCGGTTTGTCGATATCAGCTGCAAGGATTCACTAATAACTATGATGTTCAACAAAGAAATTACATCAATAGTAGAGATAATTTAGATGATGAAGAAGAGGAAGAAGACATGAGGAACCCTTTAGTATGGGGTTTGGCTAGGCTTATGTCTTTGTGGCCTGTCAATTTGCTATCTAGTTGGATACAAAGATACTTCAATTACCCTCTTGATAATACTACCACTGATTTTCTTGGAGGTGAGATTTGGGTTCAACCCCTTTCTTTCTTTCTTTCTTAGCAAAAGCCTATATAGGAAACTTACGAGTTTCTCGTTAACAATAGCACCATAACTTGTGTCACCCGTCATTCAGAACTTCCTTTATGTTCAGCCTATATATCCTATTGTGATGCAAAGAAATATATCCTATTGTGATGCAAAGAAGTACTAACCCTAGATCGTCATTTAGGAAAACCTATATTTTTGAATACTCATAATGGTGTATTTATAATTATAAGTAGGGTTTAGAAGAAGGACGGAGTAATGGGCTAACGGGCTAGTTAACACCCTTTATGAGTAGACCCGACCGAATAGCTTTTTCCAACTAGATTCATATACTTACTTCATTTGATATCCTAATTATACCTTTAAAAATTCATTTGTTAAAGAATACTTAACTAACCTTCTATCTCACCATCATTAAACCTCGCCAAACGAATTGGCATGACACTTGATCATAAAATATAACTAATATAAACTAACAGCTTAAAAGTTTTCAATACTTTGATTTACTATCTCAGGTAACCTACTTTATTTTCCAGCAGGTTACTAATTCCACTCTCATAAATTAATTATCTTTTAGGTGACTTGATGGTATAGTATATTTTTTTGCATAGTGAAAACTCTTCCAACTATGGTGACATATTTTTCTTTGATTTGGGATAGGAATACCATGGTGGAATACATGGAACATTCTTTGACATGAAGGCTGCTGATTAGATCCCTTCTTCCATTGAAGAAACATCACAGAGTAGTCTTTTTTTTTTTTTTTCCAGTACTCTTTGCTTCATTAGGCAGGTATGTTACAAGTTACAACTTATCTGACCTGAGAAATGTTCTGCCAATGGGATCATAAAACTAGGCTTAACAGGTATGCATAGGGGCGGCAAACGAGCGGGTTGGATCGGATATGAGCGGGTCAAAAACGGGTAATTCAAAAAATGGATAATTATCCGACCCAACCTATTTGATACGGATAAAAAACGGGTTATCCGGCGGATAATATGGTTACTCATATTATCCATGGCTTCATGAATATGATCGCTTTTGAGAGAATTCTTAATCTTCCAAACTTGATGAAACCCCAATTTGAGGCATTATAAATGTAAAAGTTAAAACACATTAGTTATCCATAGGTTATCCATTTGGTTATTCATTTTCTATGTGGATAATATAGTTCTTATCTACATTCGACCCATTTTTAAAAAGTTCATTATCCAATATGCACAATATCCACCCTTTAACATCTCCGAGTGACTAACAAACATGAATCCTATAAGAACATAGTGTAGATAATTTTTACTAACTTTATTTTAACCTATTGTAGGTAAATTATCTTATCTTTTAGGAACTATCGCAATTATTATGGAAAGTAATATGTAATTATCTTTTAGGTGATCTGATAGTATAAAAATTTATTCTGTCAGTGTCTAAAAGCTAAACTCAAGATTAAATATTGAAACAAATGAGTAAATTTCATGGATGACCATTCAACTTTATATTCATTACTCAAAAATCATCGCTTTTTTTTTTTTGTTACAAAAAAATCATTTTACTTTGCTCTAGTTATCGCAAAAGTCACCTTTGCCGGATTTTAAAATACTTTCACTTGAAAAATCTATTATGCCATTGACATTATAAATTCTTCCATTTATGTAATATCTTCTATGTTATATACTATATAATACTGTCAAGAATAAAAAAATGTAAAGTACATGACTCCCACAAATAGTAAATATGACTTCTTTGGAAATCCTGGATACTTTGCAGTTTATACTTTTGCATGGAACTCAACTCATTGATGCTAATGACTTTTGATTTCGAGAACAGCAATATTTTAGAGCCTTGGAAGCATTTTCAGACAAAATGATGGCCACGAAGCTTTGGTTTATGTATTTCATGGTCAAGATTGTTGTCAATAGCAAACTTTAACTTCAAAAATCAGAACTATGGGATATATATATTGTTAGGCAAAATGATGGGAATCACATTAATTGAAAAGAATTGACCCTGACGATACAAAAAGAAAAGAACGGATCCATTTCTACCATGTAAACTATCTGTTCTCGTTTGTTGTAAAATCAAATTATAGCTTAATGAACAAGCTAGCTAGTTAAATCAAATTTGGTGTGTAAAATCTAGTACTTATTCTTGTGAAGATTTTTTAATGATTTTTAATTGAGCAGCCCTTCCATCTTTTAAGGAATGATGGATTGAGCAGCTGTTCCATCAAATTGTGCTGATCATAATATTGATAAATTTGAGTTCACTCACTTTCTTAATTCTACACTCCTTGGAAATCTTAAACAGCATAGGGAGTTAGCTCATTTGCGGTTGCTTATTCAAGTATGTAAATATAGCGCAAAAAGTGAGTAAAACATACTAACTCTTAGTACTTTTCTCAATCTTCTACGCCAGGTTTATTTATCACTTACTATGTTTTCTGCTACGATGTCTGCGCAGACTTTTCAAATTTAATTACTATTTTGGTTTAAGACCTATTCATTTGTTGGTAAATAAACTTCTATGCAAATTGAACCAAGTTTCGTTCGTCGTTTATAAGATCGACCTCAGAGTAAAGGTGGCAAGTGGACCGGTCAGGGACCGGGACTGTCCCGGTCCTGGATCGGTTGGACCAGTATTCGTGGGCCGCTATAGATTGGAACCGGGACTGGACTAGTCCCCGGCGGGCCAAACAGTCCCAACGGTCAAAATTTAAAAAAAAATCTACCTATTAGGGCATTTAAAATCTGGCCGTTGGGTCACCCAAAATAGCCGTTGACTATTTACAAAATAGTCATTTAACCCCCAACTTTATTTTAATCCCAAACTTTTTATAATTACACTTTTTCTCTATTTTCAACTATAAATACCCCTCATTGTTTCATTTTTCTTACAAAATCATCAATCTATCACAATCTCCTTCTAATTTTCTTCTATAATTACAAGGCATTGCTTCGAATATCTCTTTACAATATTTTTGTTTTTAGACTTTAAATTTGAATTAAAATATTTAGGTCACAATTCTATAATAAAATTTACAAGGCATTGCCTCGAATATCTCTTTACAATATTTTTGTTTTTAGACTTTAAATTTGAATTAAAATATTTAGGTCACAATTCTATAATAAAATTTACAAGGCATTGCCTTAGATATTTTTTTAACATCTTCTTGTCTCTAATTTTTATTTAATATTTTTTAAAAAAATATCCGTTGAGCCCACTTAGCCCGCGGGCCGGGACCGTTTAGCCCGGGACCATGAGTTCGTGAGCCCATTCCCGGGCCGGTTCCTACAAAAAGACCATTTGGATCGGGACAGTTTGGCCCCTTTAATTTGGGATCGGCCCGGGACCGTTTGGATCGGCCCACTTGGCCCGTTTAGGACCCGGACCAGCCCACTTATCACCGTTACCTCAGAGGCTTTTACAAGCCATTGTTAATTTATTCCGAAGGCAAACAGAAATAAAGGATTTAATTACACAAACTTTCTCTGGTTTTCACCTTCTAATTACAAAGTTTTCAACTGTATTTTTAAAAATTATAGATCCTCCTTATTTAAGCAGTGTAAAAGAGCTAGTGCTGCTGTTAGAGATAGACTTACCAATTGCATATACTATTACTTCATTAATCTCAAATTGAACTATGTTAAACAAAACTGAAGCATAACAATCTGCAGTGATTTCTTCTAAAACTATCCTTTTGCTTAGGCTTCTCAATCTTTTTAACAATACCATGGTATATGCACAAATCAGTTAACTAATTGGATAAGAACACATTTAATTGTATAAAAAGGGAGATAATGTAATTTTTACAAGCACATCAGAGATTTTTTTTTTATATTTATTTATTATGGGTATATCTATTAGCCCTAATCTTCATTGTTCCATAACAGCTCTTCCATAATCAATTAAAGAGAAACTAATCATACATTTTCGTCAAGAAAAGGACTATGTGCAACCATAGAACCCATTTAGGGGAATGAACTGATTTCTATTTCATTCCAAAAATAAAAGAGCAACTATACTATAATAAACTACGATTTAATTTCCATGCGCTAGCAGTAAATTTTTTTTTACCCTATTAGGTTAAGTTTTATTTTTACCCTATTAGGTTTAGTTCACCGACAATATGTAATTTTTCATAACAAATCTAACGTGCTAACCTTGAAAATGAAATAACCTATTATATCCAGTTGAATTGTGTTGATAGTGTAGAAATTATTTACACTGTTTAGTGTATGTAACTTAAACCATCACCTAACCCAGAGCTCACAATCATTTGAGGCAAATAGTGGTGCTACTTAACTAAGCAGATGCTTCAGAGAATGTACAACACTGTCAACTCAAGGACAATAAGAAAAGCAAATAGTTCCAAGTTATGCTGCACATAGTATTTCTGTCCATGTATGCACAAAAAAACTGGACATTAAATCTTCTCTTTGTTGTTTGACACGGTAAAAGCTGGATCCACTAATATCACAAAAAAACACTGCTAACAAAAGTGTCAAAAGATGGTAGAACTAAGGTTTTTTTCTATTAGCCCGGAAAAATTTTCACCTAAAGAAAGTCTAGATTAGCTTCTTCTTTTGGAAATATTGCTTCAAATATAATATTTGCAGCACTGATGCTACAATGCAGACTCCCAAAGACATGATACTGAACCAAGCAACCCGTGCATTAGTCGTTTCACTCACTGCCCGCATCTCTGATTCCCTGAAGGGGCAAAAAGAGTAAAAAGATTAAAGAACAAAACTAAACAAATAAAAATTCTTGCCTCCATAAGCTATATACCTGTTCTTCAAGTAAATCAAATTTTCGTGAATGGCCTCCACAGCTCCTTCAAGCTTTCGCAGCTCGAGTTCAATACCCTACCACAGGTAGAAAGTTAAAGTAAAATTCTTAGAGCTTTTAGAACAATGGAAATATCAACTTAACAGAACAAGATAACAGCACCATATATGATCCTTTCCCAGAGTCAATATATGGGCAGGAGTATCCATTACACCATGCCAAACATATAT